CTCCATCCACACTTGTCTATTGTCAATAAGCAAGAAAAATCACTGTCACTCGGCCTCACATTTAGTATCTCAGTTGCACGTCCAGTTATAAGTTACAAGGGCAGAATGCTATGGCTGAGACTCAGATGTAGATGTAGAGAGCATTGAAACGTTTTGATTGTTACAAGCTGTTAGACTGCCAGTCAGTTTTAAATGTTAAAAACACAAACATGTCAATTGACTCATGGATAGTAAGTGCAAGGATGTTGCATTTCATCAAATGTCATAATGTAGCAGTAGCATTTGTTTAGGTGTGGCTGTTGATGGCGCTGAATCTGTTTCGCTTTAACTGTGTTTTTCTCGTAGGAATTTGCTCTCTCTCATCCATCGAATGATCGAGTTTGTTGTGCGTGAGGGTCCCATGTTTGAAGCCATGATCATGAACAGAGAGATCAATAATCCACTCTACAGGTCAGTGCATTTTTATGAATGAGGCTACTTTAAAAAAAAATGAACATTCACCCCATCTATTTTGCAAATGCATGTTTAAGAAACAATTTGACTATCATTTAAAATAAAATGTCATAACTGGATCTTCCAGTACAGACTTCTCCAGTCATTGTCTGCTTAAACTCTGCCCCTTTCTTACAATCGACTGCACTCTCGCATTTACTTCTGCCTCCATCCAATCTGCAACCAATTAATAGAAATCCCCACCCTAATTTTTTTTCCAATAATTCAGTGTTTCGGTCAGACGTAAGTCACAATATGGAAGAAAAGATCTTAAGTGATTTAAGTCAGACAGTAGTGATTTTTATAATTTGATTGTGTATTCAGAATTGATTTGTATTCAACAGATTTTTATTTGAAAATCAAAGTCCAGCTCATGTTTATTACCGGTGGAAGTTATACACCATATTACAGGTTAGTCTTATTTATTTTCATGATTTTGTCAAAAACGTATTGAAATGTCCAGACATAAAATTTCAAAATGTCCGCTCATAGGGCGAATCTCCAACAAAATGGAAAACAGAAGACTTCAGAATGTTTAAGAACGGATCTTTCTGGCGACCACCGCCTCTCAACCCTTATTTACATGGCACTCCTGAAGAGGAGGAGCGCGATGATGACGATGATGAAGAAAGTGGCAAGAAGGGCACCTTGAAAGACGAGTATGTCTTTGTATTGAAATCTGTCTTAATGGATTCTATGGAGATCTTGAATTCTTCTTGTGTGGAGCTACCAGGCTTTTGGTTGTATTCAGTATTGTTGGTTGTGTGTACTAAATGCTCTCGTCTGCTGCAGCGAGAGGGATAAACTGGAAGAGTTACTCCGAGGTCTCACGCCGAGGAAGAGCGACATAGCTGACGGCATGTTTTTCTGCCTCACGCATGCCGATGCTGCTGAGGAAATAGTGGAATGCATTGCTGAGTCTCTGTCCATACTTAAAACACCTCTGCCAAAGAAGGTTACTTCTACTGTAGAATTAAGATTGACAATTATGATTATTTGATTCATTCATCACTTTTGTTTACATCTGCATTTCTGTCCTCCCTCAGATTGCAAGGTTATATTTGGTGTCAGATGTGCTGTATAACTCATCAGCAAAAGTTGCTAATGCCTCTTATTACAGAAAATTGTAAGTTTTACAATAATTTTTAAGTGCGCAATCAAGGTATTAGTTCTTGTTTGTCTTTTTTTTTTTTTATATGTGTTTGTCTTTTATTCTTTTACAGCTTTGAAACAAAACTTTGTCAGATATTTTCTGACCTAAATGCCACTTATAAGACGATACAGGGCCATTTACAATCAGAGAATTTTAAGGTGCGCCATTCGGCTCAAATTTTTAACCCATACTGGTTTATATTATAAAGTTAACTATCTGGAGTTGACGTTTCTCAATTTTGGTCCTCACAGCAACGAGTAATGTCCTGTTTCCGTGCATGGGAAGACTGGGCAGTGTATCCTGATCCGTTCCTGATTAAACTTCAAAACATTTTCCTGGGACTCGTCAGTCTCGATCCAGAAAAGGAGATTGAAGAACTGGTGCCAGAGGTTAGTTTGGTAGAGAGTGACTGATTGAGTTATGATTCATAGATTGTCAATGATAAGATTTGAGTTGTCACAACTCATCTCAGCATGGACTGAATGATTGCATGTTTATTGCGTTTTTACTTAGCTGCCAGAAAGGACTGAGGACATTGATGGTGCTCCTATTGTGGAGGAGGAGCTGGATGGCGCTCCTTTCGATGATGTTGACGGCATGCCCATCGATGGAGCACCAATTGATGGCGCTCCACTCGATGACCTGGATGGAATGCCCATCAAGGGAACAGATGATGATCTGGATGGTATTCCTTGTAAGAATGCTGACAACATTGTTTATTTATTTTACCTTTCATACACTCAACTCCCACTTAATAGACTCAACACATCACTCTATTCCAATATCGACAAGAATATACTTTACAATTACATTAGAATTGCTAAATGTCATTGCAGATGTTCTAAAATAAATTTGTTTAGGAAAAAATGTCAGTACTTTTTTTTTTATTATTATTTTTTTTTAGTTGATCAAAAACCAGGTTTTAAGGTCGCTCCGTCAAAATGGGAGGCAGTGGATGGTGCTGCTTTGGAAGCTCAAGGTTAGTCCAGATTACGTTCATCACATCATCTAAACCTTAGTTACCTCCTCCTGTACATATCATAAAATAGATTTTTCTCTATTTTTAGCTGTAACCACGTCAAAATGGGAAATCTTTGATCTGCCAGATGAATCTGAGAAAAGTAAATCAAGGTACATTTTCCTAGTTCTACTAGGCTTGGGAAACTCATGATTATTAAATGTTAAAGCAAATGCAAAGTCTTAGAAATGTCTGTACTGATAATGTTTTCTTGTTAAGCTCAGTTTAAAAATGTTAAATTTAATCTCTATAAAAAATTTCTTACAGTAATCACAAAAATCACCAATACATTTGCCATGCAGTTTTGATCTAATTTTCACTTTCTTGTCATAGTTCAACACGTGAAGCTGAAAGTAAAGACACTCTCAGAGGTTCCAGTGCTGCAGAGCAGCAGTCCTACAGTAATCCTGTTAGAGAAGAATATGATTCAAAGTCTGCTAAATTTTTTGAGATGAGCGAAGAGAAACGTGCCAAACTTCGAGAAATTGAGGTATACCTAAATGCTAATAAGTGTACTAAACATAATGCTTCACATTCTTGAAGCTTTTAGAGATCCCAGTCATGTTTTTCTTTGTTTGTGTTACAGCTTAAAGTCATGAAGTTTCAAGACGAGCTTGAATCTGGAAAACGACCCAAAAAATCTGGACAGAGTATTCAAGAGCAAGTAGAGCTTTACAGGGACAAGTTACTACAGCGGGTTAGTATCAGCTTAATTGTTTTTGACATTCATCTTAGTCCTTCCATTTTGTTTGAAACCATAATTTTTTTGGAACTTGTTCAGGAGAAAGAGAAAGAGACAGAGAAAGACAAAGAGAAAGAGAAAGAAAAAGAAAGAAAAGACAAAGATAAATCTGATGTGTCCCACAAAGAGAAGGACAAAGATGACTCCACACCAGGCAGAAAAGAAAAGTAAGATCCCTCCATAAGACCCTGAAACTCTTTCAGCAAATGAGTGAATGTCTTTCAGAAATGGAGAACTCAATGCATTTAAGATTGTTTATTTACAGAAAACGGAGACACAGTCCCTCCCCCAGCCCCACCCGAAGTAGCAGCAGTAGGCGCGGCAGGTCGCCCTCACCACGATCAGAGCGCTCTGATAGATCCTATACGAAAGACAGCTCTCGGTTGTCTTATAAAGACTCTCCGAGAGACAGTAACCGCAAGTCTTCTAAAAGGTAAACTAATGATTTCATCTCTTCATCGTCACAGCATAAAATCAATCCTGTGTGTTGTGTTGTCATTACAAGCATGTTTATGGAACTAAGCTGAATGTAATAATCGGTCTCATTTTTAAAAATTATTTTAGGTCTCCTTCACCCCCAAGAACACCTAAGAGGTCGCGTAGGTCCAGATCAAGAACGCCTAAAAAATCCTCAAAGAAATCCAGATCTCGGTCACGATCACCTCACCGTTCTCACAAGAAATCCAAAAAAAGCAAACACTGAGACTTCTGGCTATGAAAATATGCCTGGGTTGTCTTTTGTGCCTCAAATTTGTCCTGTAAATCAGTGTGAGGGACATTCCCTCTTTAACCCATCCTTGTTTTGAAGCTCACTCGCATTGGCACAAGAACAGTGTTCAAGGGTCATCAATTGGGTGTTTTATAATGTCATTTAGGAGCTTCATTTGATGTTCCAAATGTCCGAAAAGAAAATAACTGCAGTGGTTGGGGCAATCTTCCTTCAACACAAAAACTATTGTCTTATTATTTTTTTCTTTTTTTTTCTTTTTGTCATTGTTTTTAGATCCCTTGAAACTGACTTAAATTAAAATAGTGTAAGTTTCAGTTGTATAGATGTTTGCTTTTCAATAAAGACAATTTATGTGACTTCTCTGAAATGCCTTAGTATTTCCTCTTGCATGCATCCCAAATAAACATTGAAGTCTTAAACCTAGTCTATTTAAATAACGAACCAATTTTATGCTATTTTTTAAACATTTAATTCTAAACCAGTGGTTTTCAATCTTTTAGATGACCACATATGATCATTGTTGCTAAAAGGCAGCTACTGTATATATTTTTATGTGTAAAGACCCAATTTATACTGTGAAAAAAATAATATAAATATGGGGAACATATTTAGTTTCAATTACATTTGCATGGTTTTAATTCTATTCTAAAATAGAATTTTATTTATATATATATATTTAAATTCTTAATTTGAATCCATATTTTAATAAACTAGTTAGTATAAATTAATCTTATTATTTTTTTATTTATTTTTTACAGTGTTTGTGTTTGTTTTTCCACGGTCCTCCGCCCATATGCTCATGAAATGCCTTCACGGCGCTTGCGCCTTGTAACTAACTAGGAAGTGCATGCGCGTTGCAACTTGTTCTCGCGACATTTCCGCAGGTAACGTTGCACAAAACAAGGAAGAATCTTTTAGTCGTTGTTTGGTCATTCACAAAAATGAGTGCTATAAAGTCCTGCGGGATTTTAATAAGCTTTTGCTGCATACTTACGAGCTCATCAGCATCTTCCGAGGTCTTCGATGGTGTTTTGGGAAACACTGCGTCTTGCCATAAAACATGTCAAATGACTTACAGTTTGCACACTTATCCACGGGTGAGTGCGAGACATTCAACCAGTTTCTGTTTGTTTACGAACAAAGAAACGCAATTAACATTTTCAACCATTCGTTAGTTTGTCTTATTAGGAGCTTGTGCATTGTAGTTTGTGTTTGTAAAGTTAAATAATTTGTACATCAATAACAACGTTCTAAACGGAACTGGTCTATTTTCTTTATTTGGCCTGTTTGTTTTTGTTATAGGAGGAGGCGCTGTACGCCTGTCAGAGAGGGTGCCGTCTCTTCTCCATCTGTCAGTTTGTAGGTGACAGCAAGGATCTCAACGAAACCCAATCTGAATGCGAGTCAGGTAATATTCAAGTATTGTCTGAATCCTTAAAGGATTCGCTTTGCTCTATGTTGATAAAAGTGTATTTGTTATGTAACCAGTTGTGTGTGTTTGACTTCCTGCAGCCTGTCGTGAAGCCTACAGCCAATCGGATGAGCGCTACGCGTGCAATCTCGGATGCCAGAGCCAACAGCCATTTGCAGAACAAAGGATGGAGCAGGTGTGAAGAACATATGTGAATAATTACTTTGGATGCTCATAGTCATTCCATGAGCAATTCTAATTGCATGTCACCAGGGTGCTTTTTGAAGTCACTATATGTTTCTTCTTTTTTTCCGGGTATGAAGTTGTTGATGATGATGCCCAGAATCCATCTCCTATACCCGCTGACTTTGGTGAGGGGTTTCTGGGAAGACATGATGAGCCAAGCCCACAGCTTCATCACCTCATCCTGGACATTTTATCTCCAGGCAGATGATGGCAAAGTAGTCATTTTCCAGGTAATGTGGTGGTGATGTTATATTAAACTTTTTTTAATATAATTAGACTGTATTGAAAACCATTGAAGCATCTTAATTTCTAATCTATTTGATTATTTTCTTTTTGTATTGAAATATAAGTTAATACAAGTAATATATAAGTGAATTTGATTTTTTAAAAATTACATTTTAATATAGTTGAATAATATTTTTAAGCCACCAGCCTGTAATCGATTTTGATTTTTAGCCCTTCATAGTAAAAAGTTTGGGCATCTCTGGTATAAAGTAGTAAAGCTTATTTATATGTGCCAATGATCAATATTTGCTCTTCTCTCTTTTCTAGTCTGAGCCACAATTTCAGTTTATCCCTCAATTTGAATTCCAGACCGACGAGACCGAAGAGTCACAGAGCACTTGTGAGCACTGCACATAACACGCTTATGCTTTCCGCTCTGATTAATAAGCAAGATGTGGAAAGTGTCACACTTCATAACAGTTTTATTTATTTTCAGACTTTAAACCAGGATTAGGCCTTAGTTCAATTAGGACTTTTTTAAACGTGCCTTAGAAACAAACATTACTGTTGTGCATCTTGAGACAAAACAATGGCACTGACATATGTTAAGATATGTCAGTAGTTGCTTTCAGTTAAAACAGCTCAAACATTCTTGCTATTTACCCCGGGTTTCACAGACAAGGCGTAAACCCTGTCCCAGACTAAAATGCATGTTTGAGCTGTTTTAACTGAAACCTACTTGTGCTGATGCATCTTAATATATCAGTGCCATTGTTTTGTCTCAAGATGCACACCAGTTCTGTTTTCTAAGGGACGTTTATAAAAGCTACTTAATTGTATTAATTGAACTAAGGCCTAATCCTGCTTAATCTAAGCCTTTTCTGTGAAACCAAGGGATAATATCATACTAGTTTAAAGTCACAATGTAACAGAATTAGCAGATCCTTTCTTTTGTATTGTCACGTACATCAGAGTGAAATAGATTTTCAGAAAAAAAAAAAATGTAGGTCAGGGACTTGGTTATATGCATCAGTTGTTGCTTTGACGGAGCCAGATCTGAATGCGAGATCACAGTCGATTGTAAAAAAGGGGTGGAGCTTAAGCTGACTAAATCATTGAAAATATGTAATATGTAACGGAGAAAAGTCCACAATGCTATAACCAGAAGATCCAGTTATGGCATTTTGATTCAAAATGATGAGGTCCAAAATAAAATTAAAAATGAAACCTGATTTGTGAAACCTCTTAGAAAATGTTGCAGTTCTGTTTGAAGCTGCTAGTGTCACAGAAATTACAGACTGCACCGTTAAGAAATGATGTAATGAAGTATGTAAATATGTAATGACAGCCATGATTGGCCAGCAAAGGCCCTGACTTAAACGTGTCACTTTCCACTACAGCCTCTTAGCATCCTTCTCTTAACCCTATAAGGCAGCAGTTTTAAGGCCTCTGATTTATCAACATGATCAAAACTTGTTGCACACAATCTACTACATGCCTGTCATCTGATTGATCGATAATTGATAGATAGCCCCCTTCAGGTCATGGAACAGATGTCTTTTTGCTGTGAAATCTTTAATGATTTTTATAAAGTAAATGTAAGAATAACTTTTATATTAGTAATATTTCAAGATTTACATTTACTGGACTGAAGCAACTTAGGGGGCTTTTGCACTACATAATTTTCAACTAAAAATGGAAAACTTTTTATGCGTTTTGGCCATTCATTTGCACGACAACAGTGTTTTGGGAGCCTGAAAATGCAAACTTTTGAAAACGTTTTTCAAAGTGCACGTTTTTGAAAACGGTAGCATTATCATCTCCGTGTAAACTACTAAAACATGAATTTGTGAAAACGGAGACGTCATGCACATGCGTATTACGTGTTCAGTCTATAGGCGTGTAGTCTTTACAAAATAACATCGCCAACTACTGGCCTGGCAGCAGAATACAGCGTTTTTAATCATTTTCGTGGATCCGTGTGAACAGGGATCGTTTTGACAATATTGCCCTCTGTACATGAAAAACAAAAAGTAAAAATGTTTCCATTTTTAGTACATCGTTGTCTTAAATGTTACCCTTAGCTTTACTTAGTTTTAGTACATCGTTGTCATGTATACATACCCTTAGCTTTTCTTAATTATCCATTTATTTATTTTTAGAAAAATCGTGTTAAAGTGCATGTATCAAATATGATACAACAGATATCTGAGGAACATTTGTTATTTTATCAGCATTTTGGGCCTCTGAATAAAATAGAGGTGTTTTTTCTGAAGTATGAGCTTCATTTTCTCCTATATCATAATATTTGAGCGATAAAAGCCTGATGTTTTAAATTTGATACTCAGCAAAAAAAAAAAAAAAAAAAATGTATACATTGTCTAAAGGTTAAGTAAACTTTAGATTTGTCTGACTATTATTTATTATACTTTACAGGGCTAATAAAGGTTTTAAGATCACAATACTAATATAGCACCCCTTGTTTTTTTTAATAGTTGTAGATCAGGGGATGAAAAGCCCTGTCTATAAAGACTACCCAAAGAGCTTCATTCAGGAGAGAGACAGAGACATGTTCAATGATAGAAGCAACTCTGATGACGATTACAAGCTCTTCAACTGCCTTTCAAGGTTGGGCACATCTTGATCTCTTATTATTCACAATCTGTTGGCCTTGTTGAATATAAACCATCATGATCTTGTGTACTGCTAGGAACCCGTGGTTGCCTAGCTGGATCCTGACCACCACTCTGGTTCTGTCTGTCTTTGTTCTGATCTGGATCTGTTGTGCCACAGTGTCCACTGCTGTTGAGCAGTATGTCCCTGCTGAGGTAAACTACTTCACGTTTCTTAGCCAATTACATTTCTTAGTCAATTCCATTTAACCAACTGTTCCACACATTCTCCTCCTTTCAACAGAAGCTAAGCATAAATGGGGATATGGAGTACATGAAGGACACGAAACTGACCCCTTATCTGCAGTCTTCTCTAGTGATCATCAGATCTCCTGGGGTGGAGGAGCAGGAAGCGGGACCCCTTCCGTCAAAGGTCAATCTGGATCAGTCTAACATTTAGTCAGTCTAACATCCAAAGGAATTGGGGTCTCATAGATGTGGTTTTCTCTGTTAAAGGTGTGATTATTGCTCTAACTCATTTACTATGGGTTTCTCCTTTTTCAAATTTGATAAGCGTGGACTATGGGGAATATATTGTGTTGATGTTTTGGCACTTTAAAGGCATTACCTATCAGAATGAAAGCTCTGTAGTAGGAGCTCAGTTTTCCAGGTTACTACCCATTTGTAGAAATGAAGGTTTTCTTTTTTCTTTTCTTTTTTTGAGTGTTCTCAGTGTGATCAATAACTGCTTGTGATTTGAGGTACGTGTGTTGAACAATGACACATTAACATTTTGATTTATGCTTCAGTAGCAGTGGGTGAACATTTCTTGAACCTTCAAAGCCTTGTAAATGAAAATATTTTACAACCTCAGATTTGCCATCTTGATATTAATAAACAAACCTACAAAAAGTGTTCTGTCCCTATTTTGTATATTTTACAGTTTTAATAGACACTGATCAAAATCAGATATCTGGTGTATGCTTCGTAATTGCAGTAGCATAGTTTTTGGTGTGCATTCTGTCATTTGTTTAGACTAGTCAAAACTGATAGGATTTTTGTTTGTGTGGGCATGTGAAGATTATGCACAAGTGCTGATGATGTTACTATTGTAAGGGGATAATACAGTTAAAGACCCAGAACAAGATAAGATGAATGAAGACCCGGAGTCAGGAGTGCAGTCAATTGAAGAAAAGTGTTACTGAAGATTGTTTGTAGTTTCATCAGCAGAAGTCAGCTTTAAGACTCACAAGGAGTTCGTAGGGCACTCCTAACAAACAATAGTTACAAAGATCACAGCAACCTACACCAAGGTCTAAGCTACGTCATTGCTTCAGGTTGAATGATTCTGATTGGCTAAGAAATAGATAAACATAGTCAGTTTCCACACATGGACTGATAGGCAGTAGCACATCTCCATAGTCTGTATGGCTGCCACCAGGACCCTGAGTTAGGTACGACGAGTGTCCCTCCGAGGTCACAAGACTGTGTGTCTAGGTGCCAACATGTTGAAGAAAACAAGTCAGTCAATCCCCAATAATGCCACTTGTTAACCTGTTCCTTAACCTGTAACCAATAATACTTACACACACACACAGAGACATCGCTCCTTCAAGGTTGGATTTGCTCGGGCTCCAACTATAAACAGGAGACTCTTCCCAAAACATCAAGATAACATGTTCTTTGTCTCAATGAGAGGACACTTTAATATAGAACAGTAAAGTAAATGCTAAGAAATGGTCACTTAAACTATTGGTTCCAATGACCCTTGTGACCTATAGTTGTCACGATGAGCTAGAAGAACAGATATATTTTTAACACATGTCATTGACCTTTCTCAAACAAAACAAGTCCATGTTTCATCTCTGGAAGCCGGGCTAAATGAGCAAGCGCTGCATTTCTGGCATGGGCCAGACCCTCAGTCAAAAATACATGAAAAGAACATTTTTGGTAATCACACACTTTGACACTTTGGAAAAATATTGATCATTAATTAATAACTTGATTCTAAACCATACTGCATAATTATGTAAATCACTCATCAAATAACTCAAAAGGATATACTGAAGAGACAAGGGATTCCAGAATTCCCCCCTTCACTATCTTGGACACTCCTGGATGATTTATATACTGTAGCTTTCTGAGGAACATATTTTTTAATATCAGATGCAAGAATAGTATTTTGTTTTATTTTTATTTTTATAAATGCTTCAAAAATGAAACCTAACCTTAGGTGAGGAAATTAGGCTACATAACGCTTTACTGACAGTTAATTTAATAAGGAATGTTATCTATTCTTCTGTATTGCTTGGAAATATTATACATTCTATTTTTCAACCAATAGAATTTATTTGATAATTATTGTTACTTTTCATACTGAGATAGTCTGATAACCCAACTTCAGAGAGAAGTGAAACTGAAAAGGAAGGTAAGACATACTTCTCTAATTGAGAGTTCCTTCTCTAGACAGAATGTAAATTTATCAAGCCTAAATACTATTTTAAGCTATTATGTTAAATACAACTATCTTTTTCAAATAAATGCGGTTGTTTTGAACTTTCTATTCATCAAAGTGCATCAAACTCCTGAAAAATGGTTTACACAAAAAAACAAAACAAAAAAAATGAGCCAGCAAAACTGTTTTCAACATTGATAATAAGGAATATAGAAAACACTGTAAATTGTAATTTCACAATATAATTGATCAAATAAATGTATCCTTGGTGGGCATTAGAGACTTCTTTTAAAAATATTAAACAGCACTGTTTTGACTGGTCTAATGAATACATCTGCATCAGAGGCTAAAAATGCCAAGATTTCTGAAAATGAAGCTATGTACTAAAATAGATTATTGGACATTTTGTTTTGTTTTTGAGGTCAGATGTACTGTCTGATAGCATTGACTCTGGGCATGTGTTCACACTACCGTTTGTCCTATTTTGTAATTTGTTATTTTAAGGCTGGAATACACTACACAACTTTGGTCCAAATTTTTGCCCTTATTTACAGTCTTGAGTCGAATCAATGCTAGTTCCCAAAACTCAGAGCCAATGTTCAGTTTTGAGTAGACAGATTTCTCAGAAAATTGTGACATCATTCTCAGACATGTGTTTCTATGGGAATTTGTTGTGTTCAGAACGTCTTGAAAGTCTGGTAGTGTTTTTTAGTGTCCATTTTTAGTCAGTTAGTGTATTTTATATTAGCAGATTTTTATAATAAAACCTGTCCAGACTGTAAAAGTTGTGTAGTGTATTCCAGCTTTAAAGGGTTAGTTCACCCAAAAATGAAAATTCTGTCATCATTTACTCTCCCTCAAGTTGTTCCAAACCTGTATGAATTTGTTTCTTCTGTTGAACACAAAAGATATTGTAAAGAATGTTGCTAACCAGACAAATGATGGTAGTCATTGACTTCAATAATATAGAAAATAAATAAATAAATACTAAGTCAATGGCTACCATCAACTGTTTGGTTACCAACATTCTTTAAAATATCTTCTTTCGTGTTCAACAGAACAAACAAACTCATACAGGTTTAGAACAACTTGAGGGTGAGTAGAGTAAATGACGACAACATTTACATTTTTGCCTGAACTATCCCTTTAGTCACCATGAAATCAAAATTGACAATACTTATTTTACTGGAATATTGCACTATTTATTATACATGATCTATCCATGCACATCTTGTGAATGAATGAAAATGAATGCACCCTTGTTGTTGTATATGCTTGAAATAAGGTCTGTGGTGAACAAAAGCTTGAAAGACATAAATATATTGTGTTTTAAAAAAAAAAGCATTTACATGTCTTGAAAAGGGCAGTTGGAAACAAGTGGCTAAATTTGACTACAAAGGTTGTCAGGGACAGTAAACGTCATCAGTCAAACAGATAATCTCATCTACTCACTAGTCAAAGCCTCTTGGCGTTTATAATTGTGCTCTTGCAAACTTTTATAACTCAAACTTTCAGGGAAAATGTTCTTATAGAAAGAGTTGTCGGAAGCTTAGTGATGGTGAGTTGAAGTCATGCAACCATGGTGTGTAGTTTATGTTTAGCCTATGTTTAGCTTTTGACTTCTGCCTATTGTATTTACTCTTCAAAATCCTTAAGAGTTGTGTTCATTTGTGAAGTTTATCACGTAAGAATCTTAAGCTTTTGTAAGTCACAGATCTTTTTTTCTACAATAATCCAAAAGCCAGTTGATAAATTTTGTCGAGAGAACCAGGTTGATGCTACTTTCTGGGTTGGCCTACAAATTTTCATCCCTGCACCACTCTATTCCCCATGGACAAAATCAAGTCTTTCTATATATCTTTTTTTCTTGTTCGAGAAGCCGTTGCACATGGATATGCCGCAATGAAGAGATCGCAACTTCCGTTTCATGTCGACTTTCAGTGATTTACTCAATGATTTTGTATAAATATACCCATGATTGGCAGCCAGTCAATTTGTCTGAGAAAATAAACAGTACAAAAATAAAAAGCAAGCTGTTTTTAATTGTAAATAATCCAAACTAAAAAGCATTTCAGTGTCACGTTCCTCACAGAGGAATGCACTGCATACATGTGTGTGTCCACTCAATAGCTATTTAACAGATCTAAGTCCTCCACAGACAGAGCTGAGAAGGATTGGCGCTTTGAGACAGGAGTTGAACTTTGCTCTTCCTCTGATAGTCTCCTCTTCTTTCCCTTGTGTGCTGCTGCCACGGCTGATGCATGCGTGTTGTGTTCTGCTGTTGAGCTCGGGCCACAGAGATCAACCGTATAAAAGTGAACTGGCACAACTTTGTCTTTGTTTGTGGTGGCACTTGTCCCAGACCAGGAGTTCAATGTCTCTCGAACAAACTTTTCTCTTCCATCTACAGAACACAATGAAAATCATTACAATATACAAAAAATTATTATTCATATTAGAATGATAATAATATAATGATTTATTAATGTTATATAATAATTAATGTGTGATAAAGTGAACATGTAGCTAAAAAGAATAAACTCACAGAAACGGAGAGCATTTGTTCTTGGTTTGGAGTCTTTCTTTGGTACTTCTGAAGCTGTAATTTCCCATTGGTTTATTACCTGATTAAAAATTTGAATTTTATACAGAGGCCACAGTATAAAACCTCTACCACCACAACTTTACCTCTCCATCATGGTACTATATAACCTGATGTATGTTACCTGTTCAGCCCAGCCTTCTGTGTTGCAATCCGAGTGTCCAAACTCCTTCAAAGGGGTCTCTGAGAGGACCATTCCCATCTTCATTCTGAAGAATCCTTTCAAAGACACGTTCACCTAAAAAAGATTGTTAATAATACACAAGACCTCATTTAAAACTTCAGCAGTTCATACAAATTTAATCAAACTCATAGATGTTATATTTTTAATTGTGTTACCGTCACATTAGTCCTAGATATGTCTAGTTTCTGTAGTGCTTTAAAGCACGTTAGATATCCAAGACCTTTCTCAGTGATGTGATTCTCTGTTAAGAAATAAACCGAAGTACAAGAGTGTAAATTAGCATGAAAATATGTTTGATTGTGCAAAAAACACCTGAAAATATTTATGTAACACTACTTTTCAAAAGTTCAGGCGACATTTCTTTCGGCTTCATATTTTTTAGGAAACCATGATACTTTTTATTAAAAGAACAGCATTTATTTGGAACAGAAATCTTTTGTAGCCTTGTAAATGTCTTTACTGTCACTTTTAATCAATTTAAATGTGCATTGTGTAATATTTAGGAGGATCTGTTGACAGAAATGCAATATCATATACATAACTATGTATTCAGAGGTGTATAAAGACCTTACTTAATGAACTGCTATGTTTTTATTACCTTAAGAATTAGCCATTTCTATCTACATACACCGCGGGTCCCCTTACATTGAAATGCACCGACATGTTTCTACAGTAGCCCTAAATGGACAAACGCGTTTCGTCACTATGTTGTTCTTCATGCAAAGAAGTTAGCTAAAGTCAGCGAATAAAACACTGACACAATGATGAACAAGTAACAATAATATTCACAATAACATATCGATTTACTGAATAATTAAGTAAACCTAATTTCTTCATTTATCTTTGTAAAGAAGCGTCATTGCTTAACTGGCTACTCTCTGCTGTCTCAGACTACGACATCTTTTCATGTCGGCCACCGTAACTTCTGTTGGTTGCAATTTGCAACCTCACCACCAGATGTCGCTAAAATTACACAGTGCATCTTTAATGCATCCTAGCTGAAAAAAAAAAAGTATTTCTTTCAAAAAATCTTACTGACTCCAAACTTTTGAAAGGTAGTGTCTGACTATACAAATACATTAACGAACCAGAGACGTCCAAAAGCTGCAGGTTTTCTAGGCCTTTCTTCATCACCCTCACCGGCGCAGTCAGCTTCTGAAGGCCTGCATCAGAAAGGCAGTTTGCACCTATGAAAAGTTTCACAAGACTACAGAAAAAAAAAGGAAATGTAAGGGGAAAAAAGAAAGTGATTTTACTATTCATCACAAACTAGAACAAATTGAACACCCAGCAATCATTTAAAATGTTTGTTTCATTTATGCAATGTACACAATTATGTGTTATCCATACCTAGCCAGAGCTTCAGATGTTATGTATTTAAAAACCTCATGGTTGTCACCTAATCTACATCCATAGAGGTCCAGGCACTCCAGACTCTGAAACTGTCTGATTTCCTCCAACCTTTCAGGTATCAAAAGGTACCTGAAAAGACAATAACACTGCCGTAAATGCTATAGTTTCTGATTATAACGGGTATATAGGCCTACCTAGGCAGTATTTTGGATGTCTCTAAACCTTTCATTAGGTTTTGAGACCGTCATAATGTTGTTTACTTCAGGGGTTTTCAAAGTGGGGTCCGCAAGGGAGTGAGAAAAACAGTGTAAATATTTAAATAATTATAATAATAATTTAAAAAATAGATTACAATAAAAAATATATAAAAATTACATTCAAATCAGAAAATAGGTAAATAAGTTTGCAAATAAATAATGCATCTAACAGTACAGTACTATAATGAGTAAAACAAGTTTATTTATCAACTTAATAGCAACGAAATATGTTCCAAATAATATTTAGACATATTTATAATATAATTTTTTCCCAATTTAAATTAGACCTTTATACAAGAAAATAAATAAATAGGTGGCTTTGAAATTTGAGGATGGGGGGTTTTTGGGGTCCGTGGCATTTAAAAGTTGATTGGCCGGTTTTTTTTTTTTACACTTAATTCTCACCTGTTTCTCAAACACAGGGATTTCAGCACTAGTTCTCCATAGGCCTCACAGAAGACCTGCAGTGCTCTGGGTGCAGTTTGTGGCTCAGTGAATTTGTGTCTCTCTTCGGCGGCCGAGAACAACTTATCAGCCATTTGCTCAGGAAAACCGACTAGCGAGTCCACATGCTCAATGTGATCAGCGATGAACTGTAATGATATGTCAAATAAAGACTTCACCGAGTACCGCAGACTCCCCTCCTTGTTGTAGGTAAATATGAAGTGGTCTCTTCTCTTTGTGTGGCTGGCGGAGGGTAAAGGGTCGATGCAGAGTTGAAAAGAGAAGTCTCTGTTGAAGAGTCTGTGCTGCGGAGCATCATTCTTGTCTGCACTGACATATCGCAGTTCTCCTTTCTCCCTGACATACACAGCGCCGCAGTCCTCGCTTAAATACATCCTCCTTACCACCTCTCGACACAAACCGAGAGTTTAATGTCCAAAATATTCGGGTGTCTTCTTAAATTCAAGGGTATACTGCCGGAAATATCGAGAAGTTTGGAAATCGTAAAGAGATTTAAAAGCGACGGGCTGTTGAAGTAACATATCCCTCCTCTGTGTCGAGTTTCACGAGCATTCCAAAATAAAAGTCTTTACTGAAATCTTTACAAGTTTTTATTTTTACTAGCATTGTACTTCACAGATAACTGCAGTAGTTAAAAATCTTTCTTGAGAGTATTTTACCTTCATTCTTTTCCTGCTGTGCCTCATAACTCTAACGTGATGTTTTCACTGAACCACAAGGTCAAAAACACCAGGTTTAAAAATAAATTGAAAGGCCTCATTATGGACAACTTTTATTTTGCTACGCATCACTGTGATTATTTATTTCCGCGTTTCCATTTCCACAACTTCAAAGCAAAGTTTATGCTCCTGAAACCTTCAAGAAGTTTATTTAACACGACGACAACATTAGAAGTCTTGTTTTGCTATAGTTACATGTATGTAAATGTATCTGAGAGACCGTAACTTCTTAACACAATTTGTCACGTTCTAACTGCAGTTGTGTGTTGCTGGTGTATAATATCCGCATACGTCTGATTGTCAACAGGTTGTGCAGTGTCTCTCCTGCTACGTGATCAGGACACTTCAGTTACAGCAGTGTCGTCTATGGTTCATGTGGTACGTAAATCGTAATACTTAAAGGGGTAGTTCTGCCACCACGTACTCACCTATTACTTTATTCCGAGGAACACAAAAGAAAAATGTTAGGAATATTGAGAGCCTCAGTCATTATTTGCATTCGTTGTACGGGAAGAAGATGCAGTGAAAGTAAATGGTGTCTGAGGTTGTCAGTCCCTCTCATTATGCCTATTGCCCGATATATCCCTTTGTGTTCCACAGAATAAAGAAAGTCTGATTTAAAACAGCCTACAGTATCAACAACATAAACTAAAGGTTGTCTACTTATCGGTCTTCTATTGATTGCCTTTATTCACAGAGCACATAGATCTGTGATGGCAAATACTGATTTTCATCTGCAATTTCAAGGTGAGTCCCCAGACATTTAACAACATATTTGAAAAAGAATGCCAAAAATATCACCCCAAATAAATAATGACTCTATTTATTTATTTATGAATGACAACTGTTCATTTAGCATAATAATAAATAGGATATTGTGGAGTTTATTGTGCCTATTGTTCTTGAAAATTTTTCAATTTTTTTTCCAATATTTTGCTAGAATTTGAAGATGATCAAGGATTCATTGAACGTAACCAAGGTTCCACAACAGTGACCATCGATGATCCCATCAAATCACGAAAACAACGTAAAGCTGCTGGAACTGCCCCTGAAGAAGAAGAGATTGATCCATTGGACAGCAATGACCAAACTGAGGTAAGTGGAACACAATCACGAAAATCTGACATCTTCATTTTCCCAAATGAGGTATTGACTCAAAATATATGTTGCTTTGTCAAACAGCTTCTGCCAGGTGAAAAAAAAAGTGCACCTTTCTGGACGTTTGAGTTCTACCAAACATTATTTGATGTGGACAGCCATCAGGTCAGCCAGCTGGATCTTTACTGTAGGATTCACCGCTCACACTACAGCGATTCATCAGTTATAAAGCGAATTCATTGTGTATTTCAGAAATACTTTTTCAGGTCTTTCTAATCCCCTTTAAATATAAAAGATGCATTTTTGCTCTTTCCCCATTTTAGTAATTTAAATCCAACCAGTACTCATGCACATGGAATGATTATGTATATGCTAATATGCTATAATATGCTGTCAAGACAAGACAGAAATATGTATAGGTATTATAAATATAATACCTGTTTGTTTATTTATAGGTAAAGAACAGAATAGTTGGTTCAATTCTGCCTTGGCCTGGGAAAAACTTTGTCGAGGTCTATTTACGAAGTAACCCGGACCTGTATGGTAAGCTTAATTAAACTAAAATGTATTGATTAGAACAAAGCGAAAGAAGTTGATTAAAACTTGAATATGTTGTTATTCTAGGACCTTTCTGGATCTGTGCAACTCTTGTTTTTGCCATCGCTATTAGTGGAAACATCTCCAGTTTTCTGGTGCACCAGGGTCAGCCGAAGTACAAATATGTGCCAGACTTCAGGAAAGGTTAGAGATATGTTGTTTGAAATAATATTGTGTTATGACCAGGAAAATGAACAGCATTTTCTAGTTTTAACTGTAACAAAAATATGTAATACACTGTTACATTTTTAACAGAAATGACATACAACACTTTAATGTTTGAGGATGAAATGTTTTGATATACACTACCATTTCAAAGTTTGGGATTGGTAAGTCTTTTTTTATTGTTTTGGAAATAAGTCCCTTTAAATATGTTCTATGCTAATTTGCTGCTCAAGAAACATTTCTTAATTTATCGATGTTGAAAAAAGATTTGCTGCTTAATATTTTTAAAGGATTCCTTGATGAATAGAAAGTAAAAAAAACAGCATTTATTTGAAATAGAAATCTTTTGTAGTATTAAAAGTGTCTTTATTCTCACTTCTGATCAATTTCATGCATCCTTGCTGGATAAAAGTATTAATTTATTTCTGAAATTTCTCTCTAAATGACACCAAACGTGTGAACAGTACTGTAGTATGCTGTGAATAGCTCAAAAGAAGAAGAAAAAAAAGAATAAAGAAAGAATATTACCAAAATTACCCAAACAAAAAAGACCCTTTATACTCACCCTAAAAAAATGACCCTGTTTTGGTGATTGTTTTCCAGTAACCATGGCAGCCACAGCAATCTACAGCTATGCATGGTTAGTGCCTTTAGCTCTTTGGGGTTTTCTCACCTGGCGAAATAGGAAGATCACAAGCCTGGTGTCCTACTCCTTCATGCAAATAGTTTGTGTCTATGGCTACTCGCTCTCCATCTACATCCCCGCTGTGGTGAGTAGTACAATCATAAAAGATGCATTAATATGATATGCATTAATCTGTGCATAATTAACACATCTGATAGTTTGTTTTCAAGCATTCTCTGTTATTATTTTACAGATACAGTGGAACAGTTTATTTACTTGTTTGTGTGCCTTTGTGAATAACAGATACTGTGGATAATACCAAGTGAAGGGTTGAGGTGGTTCTCCATCGTGGTAGCTTTGTGTCTCTCAGGATCTGTGCTGGTAATGACTTTCTGGCCAGCCATCAGGGACGATAAACCAAGGATTACCATAGCCATTATAGCTACCATCGTGATTCTTCACGTCTTACTTGCGGTTGGTTGCAAGGTACCTTTTTTCAAGAATCCTTATACATTATAAATGAATGTGATTCTTAAAAAAAAAAAAATATATATATATATATATATATATATATTATTACATTATATCTGGATGCACAACATTTAATTAAGCAGTGTCAGTCTATATCAGGTATTTAGTTTTGCATACTCGTTTTCCCTATTTTAACATTTTAGATTACCTTCGCTGTCACATAAGTTCTTTTTTTAGACCCTAATAACTTATTAATAATGTTAAATCTTTAACATATCTTTTGCAAATCTCAAAATAATCTCATCTTTCATACTATAAATAATAATGTTGTAGTGTCTAAATGGAATGGTAGCATTTTAAAAAATGTTTAATTTATTTAGACAATATATTATAGAATTGTCAAATTGGCTATAACATAAGGACTGGCTTATATGTGTTTTAATATGACTGCATCCCTAATATGAATGCATATGATTATGTACTCCTTCAAATATATTGGATTAAACTTAACTTGATTAAAATGGTATCTTTTGAGTGTTGCAAAAATGCTGTTATTTCATAACAGTAAAGTTTGTTGCTTTAGCAGCTCAACATCAGAACTCCGGCACTGCTTTTTGTAGCGTTAAAGGATCAAACAGGTTGGTGTCAAATGTGTTTTCCCAGTGGAGGGGTGTGTTCTTGGAAACACTGGCAATAGTCATTGACTGGCTTGGAAACGTGCCAGTTTGTGAGCAGAACCATATCCTTGCTATCATGTGTGCCTTCAATTACATTCATTTAATTAGGGAATGCCATGTTAGCGGAGTTTAAGGAACAAAAGTGCTGTCAAAGTCTGAAAGATTTGTGTCCTCTCTCTTTTCTTCAGGCATGTTTCTTCAGTACATACGAGATGGATCCATCAGAGGATCACAATGAGCCATTGAGAACGACCAGCACTTTATCATCCACATAGGCAAACTGAACAACAGCCTTGACTTCAGTGATGATGTGGCACTCTCATGTGCTCTGACTGCTGAACTGTTTTAATAATGATGAAATGGTATAGAAATGCCAGCCCTTTTAAATGAGCCAAGTCATTTGATTGTAGTTGCTAATGGGAAAACAAGACATTGCATTTGGCAAGATGTTAACATTAGACAAGACTTCCTGTGCATAATATGTGCTCCTTGAGAGACTGTTATTCTTCTGTAATTGCAGCTTCTCGTCTTGCCTTATTAGAGAGAATCGGGTATCTTGATAATTAGATTGTGGGCTGTCTGGATTTCTTCATTTTATATTCTGTGAAGGTGAAATTTAAATTTTGATGGCTTTATGTTTGTAGGTGAGCAGCCAAACCTTGAGATAATCATCTACATGTTTGAAGTTTTCTGATTTGAGGTTCAGACACATGTTACTGTTACAAAGCAGGGGATGTGTATATACTGTAGCTGTTGTTTAAATATTTATGTGATAATTGAGATTGAGATGGGTTTTCAAAAGGGTTTCTCCTGTTTCTACCACTTTGAGCCATGTACATCCACTTAAAATGTTTTTAACACTTTAAAACACTACAGTGTCAGCAGACAAAAGGCATGGAAAAATCAAATATTCTATAAATGTACTTAATAACACAATACTTACTCACATAAACTGATTACATATTTAAATTATAATGAAGTTGGAAGTCAAAGCTGGAGTTTATTTAAATATTTTACAAACTTTCAGTTCTCTACGATGGCCATTGATTTTTTTGTTTTGTTTTGCATTCTATATTTGTAACAAATCCGTCTCTTTTCTTTGAACAAGATACTTGTAGACAAAATGCCTAGAACAATTAAATGTATTCCAAGATGTCATGTTGTAATAAATATATTTAATAGTTTTTTCCCCATTTAAAATGAAATGTATATAAATACAAAGTGGTGAGCATATGCTAACTGTGTAAAGTTTTGTTTTTCCATTTATAATGTCTCAATGATTGATTGTGATATTGAGAGCCAATTGGTTTTGGTGCAGATCATAGAATTTCATTCTGAGCATCATCAAGATTCACAAACAAAGGTTTATTGTCATAGATAACATCTATCTTGTCTTTGATGTCAGGATTTGATACAGTGCAAAGTTTCGTATATCTCCGAGTACCATCAGCAGTGCACTTTTAACCTTCGTTCATCACTGTCAATAGATTAATTAGATATATACAAAACATTTTTTTAAAGTTGGCACTAGCATTATGAAATGGCTGAGCTACATTTTCCAAATTAACAAAATAGAAATTTTGTGTCACTTGAAACGGTGCCAATGTGTGGTGTGTGTGTCCTAATTAATGGTCATTCTAGCCTTAGCTTAGAGTTACACCGAAGCTGCCTCCCAAACCTATAACCTTTGTGGAAGAATGTCAGCTTCACAAGTCACTGTTTCCCTTTACACAGTGGATTAAAAATAAGGCGGCTTTATTTCTGAATTCACAGGTATCTGCTGACATTGTTATTTTAATGACCTGCAAATGGAAACCCTATTTAAAGAGAGTTTGACCTGACGACCTGTATCAAAACATGCATTTTCAATATTGCATTTAAGACTGCAAATGAATGATGGCTGGGAAAGCGGAAAAGGTCTCCAAATACGAAACTTCAAAACTTCTGGAAAAGTGCCGTAAGGAAAGAGACGATGCTTTGCACCGCGAGAATATGATGAGGGAGAAAATGAGACAATATGAGTCTCGAATGAGATCAACCGAAGCTCTCAAACAGAAACTCAAGCAATTGGCTATGGACAACAAGGAGCTGCGGAAACAAGTGAAGATTCTGAGGGCTGAAATTGGTTTAGAGTCCAGTCCCAAATTTCACGGTAAAACCACCAAGGATATAATCAACGACCTGCATGAGAAGGAGCGCGAGTGCAGTTCACTTGTTGAAAAAGCGGGAAAGCTAAGTTTTACCATTGATGACCTAACATCTGAACTGGCGAACACTGTCACCTCAAAGACTCTACTGGAGGACCAGGTCCATTCCCTGCAACAGAACCTGAAGGACATGACAAACAATCAGCGGCGTCTTCTGAAGCTCTGGGAGGACAAGAAGGCTCAGCGGGAACAGCTGTCCCTGCCCGCAATACCGCAGAGACCCGGACAAAAGCCGGTGGTGCATAAAGGCATCCAGACGGAGATGTCCATCAGTTCAAACCAGATATTACCCACTAATGCGTTTGAGACCAAGACCCGCCGAGAGATCGACAAAAGCAGAACTAATCTGGAGAGACGCGGCATCACGTTAGCAAACGGCACTCATCGAGAGAAAAACGCATTAATTCAGAATGAAGCGAAAGGAATACACAACTGAAAGTTATATTGTTCCATGAAACATTTGTTTTGTCTGTCTACGCATCATAGGCTGCTCTAAATAATACTATAAAACGTTGTTTTTAAAAAATAATTAAGAAATAACATATGATAGAAGCATATTTGAAGACTGTGTAATTACCAGTTATTTCTTATTATGTTGGTTCATTATTACCTTTTTTTAGACTGCTGTTTGATGTAATGCTCACAACATTGTGTATAATGAATTACTGTTTAACATTAAATATAAAATGTATTCGTTTTTATTCAGCTTTCCTCTATTTAATTAGGATAATTTAGGCTAATTGATATGACAGTTATCTATATGCAATTAATTTATAATGATAAAAAATATGCTCCACTATATTTTAAAATCAAGTAAAAGAATGGCTATAATTAATTTGCGCAGAATTACATTGTTTAAAGGGAAAATCTACCCAAAATGTCATCATTTACTCGCCCTCATGTTGTTCCAAACCTGTATGATTTCTTTATTTCTCTGCAGAATACAAAAGGAGATATTTTGAAGAATGTTGATAACCAAACAGTTTTTGTTACCATTGACTTAGTTCCATTAATGGAATATGAACTAAATTCTCAGTCATTTATCAGAATATCTTCTTTTATGTTCCACAGAAGAACGTAAGTCATACAGGTCTGGAACTAACACGAGGGGTGAGTAAATAATGACACAATTTAAATTTTTTGGTGAACTATCGCTTTAAGTGTGATTGTACTCAGGCAGTAAGTCGGACGCACTCGCAGCGGTCCTTATGAGGTCCTTCATGGGTCCTTCGAATGTGTGGCGCGGGTACTATCCTCACTTTTGCCATGTTGATATGGATTTTACTCAAGTGATGCAGAACTGAAACAAGTATGACAAAATGTTTTCGCTCAAACAGAACTGTTGGTTTATAAAAAAGGTAAGGACTGGTTAAATTTTAAACGTATTTAAAGAACTGGACGGTAACCAACCAACTTTGGTTGGTAGTTTTGTGTGCACCCGTGTCTGTTTCTGATAAATTGATAGTATTACATTTTATTAGTTATTTGCAATGAATTAGAGTTAACTTTTAAAACTATAATCGTAAAAAGATTGTGTTTGAGAAGGTGTATGAAATGCGCCTCAACAAAATCAAAATTCTCCTTTATTTTCAGGTTGTAATATGGAGGGCGATGGCGAGTATTGCATGGTCAGTGCTTCTCTTGCCAGTGACAACTGCAGTCTTTGTGCTCTTGAGTAGATTCAGCCTGTTTCACCCCATCCAATGGATTTCAGGTGAGGAAAAGAGCAAGAAAAGGTCATTTTACAAACTGCATAATTACAAGAAGTTACTGATACCGAGAAGTGCTGGAGTGTGAATTCATTATTTATATAAGCAGTAGTTCTGACCTCAAGGAACATCATACACAATGTACTAAACCCAGGGGCGTAGGAGCAATTTTGAACCTGGGGGGGACAGTAAATGCTAGGGAGGGCGGGCGGGCGGGGGGGGGGGGGGGGGGGGCCTTATAAGTGCCTTATATTATATATAAGGCACTTAAATGCTTATTTCTAAAGACTTATGGGAACAGACTGTATTACTTAGTTTGGTCTAAGCAGTGATTAAATTGTGATTTATTATGTGGGCTCTCCCTAGGGGGGTCCGGGGGTATGCTCCCCCGGGAATTTTTTTTGAAAAATAAACCATTAAATGGCACTTTCTGGAGAGTTTTGTGCAAAGAAATTGAGAAAATGAGTCTTACATGATATGGGAAAAACTGCAAGGTTAAGAGCATATACTTTGCATTGTTGTAGTATCAACAGGTATTAGGACATTTAGCATTTACATACATTACTGTTAATCAGTCATGTTGATTAACTAAAAATTAAAAACTCAAATAAATGGTTGATTTAATTTCCATCAACCACCTAGCTTACCCCCCAAGGATTGAAAAATAAAATCAATCTATACTTGTGGAAAGGTTCCTTGGTAGCTAAGGTCTAGCAAGTCTTATATTTCTGTAATTCACACAGATCAAACACAAATATGCTGCCTGAATAGATTGCTAGTTTGTTTTGAGTAGCCAGTTAGCAGTTCTCTTGGCAGTTTGCTGATAATCCGGTGTCTGAAGTAAAATGCTCAAAACATCTCCTGAGAAAAATCACATGGCCAACCTAGTCTTGGTCATTTAATTTAGATTTAGTCTTATTTTCCTTACCTTGTCATTTAAGGCCAGGGCACTTTATGTACATTTCTGGAACTTTTGCACGCTTCCACGTCCCGCGCAACTAGGATCTCCCAGGAACACTCATTATATATTGCTGCGTACATTTATCCGTGTCACATAGATGCGCATGCGCGAGCGGTGCGCGATCATGGTCGACTGACAACGAGATTAGCAGCTGAAGAATTCGGCCGTTTTTTAAAATTGAATTATGTATTTAAGAGTTGCCGAATGGATTCATTTGGAGACTCCGAAATCGGCAGAGATAGGCAGGCAATGCAAAACAAAATCTTACATTGGGAAATAGTGGGGGGGACAAAACTTCGATTTTGAAATGTGGGGGGGACATGTCCCCCCCACGTATAATGGCTCCTACGCCCCTGACTAAACCTCGTAAAGCCTGAGATGTGACATAAATTATAGATTTTTATTTTAAGTTAAATGCATTTTTGTTTTGTATCATATTTGATCCAGCAGGCTTGTATGTCCCATATCGTATGATTTAGTAAGGAAATGGAGCTCACACTAGGAGGAAAAAAAACTGGGGGAAAAAAAGCAAATTCACATTTATTTGCATAGCGTTTTTTTTAGTGCTGGGCAACGATTAAAAATTTTAATCGCGATCAATCGCATGATTTTCTTGCGATTAATCGCGATTAATCGCATTGTTACGCGCAAAATTGAATAATGAATTCTAGTAGTGTATTGCGCACTTTTGATTTAAATGTACTGCTACGAAAGTGCAATAACATGTGGTTTGCAAAAACTTTAAACAAATAAGGTGCTTTTATACCAGCAGTATTCCCTTTACACAGTATCAATAAAATATTTCTTGTAAATCTCAACTTAAACATTAATGTAATCAAATCAAATATTTAAACAAAGCTATTTGCCACTGCCAGGGCATTACCTTTTATCTAGCTTGTTAAAACGAGTCCAGTTTTCTTGTTTTTTTTTTTTTCTGAACAGGTATCTTGTATCAGGGAGCAGCAGAAACAGTCTAGTCAAAGGGTCATGATCACTACTACAGATATAAGTCGACCAACGTTACTTCTCTGATAGCAGCTTAGGTTTGGTCATGGCATGCCATGGTTTCCCACGTAAGATTACATTAAACAGAGGTAAAGCCCAATTTATACTTCTGCATCGAACTCACGCCGTAGCTGTGTAGCGCGCGTACCCTGACGTGCATCTCTCCAAAAATGTAACGTCAATTCTACGCGTACCGCAAGCGCTGTGATTGCTAGAACCGCTCCCCGGGTTTCACACTCTCCCTCATGTGTAATTGCGCGTCAACGCGGACAACGACGCAGATATATAAATGAAAACCAACGCGTAGTCTATAGCGTAGAGAGGCTCCGGTGTAGGTCCGACGCAGAAGTATAAATCAGCCTAGAGTGAGGTGAAGTGGTCGAGCACAGGTGCAGCGACAAGCGGGTGCGTTCCTGTGAAACTGTTGCAGTCATGCTCGCCTCACGCACGCGCCCGCGCGTTGCCGAAGTTGAATTGTCTAACTTTTTTGTACACGACGCGCAGCACAAATCATTGGAAGAGAGACTGATCCTCGGCTCGCTGTTTGTGAGTTTCCAGAATCTAAATAGTTATCAGGACATCAACAGGAGGGAATTCACATGCAGAGCATCCCCGCTAAACTAAACGCAGGCCTATCAGGTAAAGTTATGTATAATTTTAATTTAAGTTAAAAAGACTAGGCTACAGCTGCGTAGCGCACAGAAGCCGGTGCCATGGTTACTATCCATAGAGCGCCTGTCATTCACTCGCGGAGCGCTGTCTCCCTTTCTGTTCACCTGAGAGAACCTGCCAAAGCCCCTCCACTGCTGGTTTGTGTGGGTTATTTGCTGGCTGACCAACATCCCACCCCTCCTGTGATCATGGTTTGACTGTAGGCCTATGTGTATTCAGAGGCAGTGAGCAACGGACTTTCAAAATAAAAATAAAAAACCTCTGCGTTAACGCGCGATAAAAAAATTGTCGGCATTAATTAATAGTGGCGGCAGTGGCTCAGTGGTTCATGTGGGTTGTCTGCAAACCGGAAGGTTAGTGGTTCAATCCTCGGTTCCACCTGACCAAGTGTCGAGGTGTCCATGAGCAAGACACCTAACCCCAGCTGCTCCCGACGAGCTGGATGGCGCCTTGTATGGCTGCCGTCGCCCGTCGGTGTATGAATGAGTGAGTGAATGGGTGAATGTGAGGCAAAATTGTAAAGCGCTTTGGTGGCCATTGGGTCTGTGAAAGCGCTATATAAATGCAGTCCATTTACCATTTACCATTTAATAAATGCGTTAACGCGATAATAACGCGTTAACTTGCCCAGCACTAGTTTTTTTACAATACACATTCTAAAAGACCTTTTATTTGCCAAAAAAAGTATGCATTTTCCATCACATGACAGAAGCCATGCAGTAGATTTTGTGCAACAGGTTTTCCAGCAATGTTTTGATCATGTCAGTAATCTGGAGGGCGGCTTTATATGGTTAATATCTAAATTACCTATAGTCACCATCTCAAACATTGCTTTCAGAATGCATAAGTCTTCTTACGGCCTCAACCACCATCTTTTCCCTTGTCGTGCTGTGTGGAGTGGTTCTGATGATTGGCTTTTTCAACCTGGAGTTCTACACTTGTGAGTAAATTGACTAAATAGATTTGTCTTTCATTAATGTGCAAAATGATTTAATTTGTAATTTTTGTATTGAATTGCATGAAGCTGATTATTTATTTCACTCTTTGTGTTTCTCTAAGTGGTTCCTTCCATTCGGTGTTCACGTATGGCTCTTCTGGGGACAGTGCTCCACCCGCGACAGTGTGTCCATTCTTTGGTCTATTGCACCATGGGCATGCTGGTAATGTGGTGTGCTTCTGTTACCATCGGTGGACGTTACAGCACTCTAGGAACTCCCTGCAGGCAAAGTGAGAGGTGGGTTATGACCGGATTCTGTTCGTCCCACATTCACTGATCCTTCGACATGCTCAGAGGATCATGTTTCAATAATTGTATTCTAGGCGCTGCGGCTCTTTCTTTTCCCCAGACGAAGAGATTGACACACATACAGATATCTTAAGTTGTTTTAATTAACACTGTGTAATCTTATCTCAAAATTACCAGAGGTCATTCTTACCCCAATATAGGCCAAGTGCACCTCTACTTTGCAAATGAAATGCATTCTCTGTCTGCGCTTGGTTTTTAATGACAAGTGTTTTTGTTACTCTATGCAATTTCTACCAATAACTGGAATGACTGTCCTTTATTTTATTGTGGGCTTTTCTAGTGGTGAATTTGTGACCTGTCTGAATGAGTATCATCTCTTTCTTCTCCTGGCTGGGGCCTTCATGGGATACAGTCATAGTTTTTTGGGAGTGGTTCAAAATATGTACTATGTGTCCTTTCAACCCATACAAGTAAGTATTTGTCTATTCAGATCAGTTGCTAAATGTCATGCATAGTGGTCGACTGATATGGATTTTTTTTTTTTTATGGCCTATGCCAATATCTTAGAGAGCGGGATGGCCAATATGACATATATTAGACTATTTTATTTAAAGATTGTAATTAACACTTGCATAACAATTGCTGCCATTAAATTGATATTTAGGTTACATAATATTTAGTCAAATATTTAGAAATAGAAATAAATAAATATTTTGCAAAAACATTTTTTTACTTTAGATAGAAACTTTTTGATTCTGTAATCCAATTATTTATTAGACATTCAAATACTTGTTTAAATTATATAAATGTGTTTTTGCTATAGTAAGTGAAAAAAATAAATAATTTGCCTCTGAGACAAAGTTTAATGAATCTTAATTCACAGTTGTTGTTTGACAGTTCTGTCTGTGAGAAGAAGGGCGCTAGGTTCACAACACTATCAAAATAAAAGTCCTGTTTTTGACTCTTTTCAGCCAAACGGAAAAATCTATCGGCCAATGCTGGTTATTTAAAAAATACCAAATATTAGCCAATATATCGGCCTTGGATATATCAGTCCACCACTGTTACTATTGTCTCATATTCATTAAAGATTTGATAGTTGCAAAAGTCTTTAGAAGGATTGAATAAGAATTAGCTGAATCATTAATGCTTTCAATAATAAGTTATCAATGCAAAACTCCTTTGTCTCTCCCACATTGGTGATGAAGCAATACAAATATCCACGGTTCAAGAGCTGTCTACCAGCGGTGGTGAAGTGCAGTGTTATTCAATCCTTATATTCAGCCAGGAATTTTGCTGCTCTCTATTTCTTTTTTGGTAAGTTACATTGATGATCAGAGATGCATACTCTAAAATTCATCTATTTTCCTGTTAGATTCTCTTTAAAATGTTGTTTTAACTTCTTTAGGTTATGTTCCTAAGACCTGGATTGCCAGCACACTTAATCTACAGATAGACAGGTCAGATTTGGAACCACAGTCTACCAAAACTGGAATCTTTAATGTTTACTAATATGATATATATATATATATATATATATTAGTAAAATCAACCTATATTCATGAATCTTTATATCCCTTTTGCTACTTTAGTTCTCTCCAACCACTAGATTCATTGACTGGACTTCTAGACTTCTCCCTACTCTACCACCTGGCGATCAGTGGCACTTTCCTGTACCTAACCTGGTACCTCACTGTGCTACTCTTCAGGATTTATGTCATAGAGGTACAGAGGTTTGATTCTTGGATATATCAAAGCAATTGTCATTACACTAGTACCTGTTTTGAAAATGATTCTGATGGCTTGTTGTGCATCTTCAGGCCTACAGTTTTCCAGTGCAGTCCACATTTACTGAGGATGCAGAGCAGTGTCTGCCCAAAGTTTTGGCTGAGAAGAACACTTCAGTCATGAAGGTCAGTTTTTTTTTTTTTTCGTTTTCAGAAAAACACAGTTTCCAGGGTCAATGGAAATGAATAACATATTACGTTTTGGGAATTTCTATAGTCAGTGTAAATGTTTTTTTTGCAAACTATAATTATCTGTTGAATATTTCTTTTTGTAAGTACAACCTCAGTAAAATAATTATTTAAAGAAATTGCTATCTAATTTTGCTATTTTGTTATATTCGTTATTTCCAACTGGAAAAGTTATGGTCAAAACGAATCCTGAATGTCATTATTGATGCTTGTTTGCAGATTTGATAGATCCTTAACTGATTAATTGTCTGTTTCACAGTTTTTGGCTCTGCAAGACCTGGCTTTGTTATCGCAACACTCTCTCTCACGTAGACTGGAAGTCTTCAGTCTGAGTCAGCCAGGTACAAACTAAAAACTTTGAAAGAACTCTAAACTTATTCCTTTTCATCACTAGTAAACTAATGTAACCTGTACATGAAGGTGGTCACCCTCACAACTGGAATGCCATCAGTAAGGAATGTCTGTCTTTGCTGAGTGAGCTGACACAAAGACTGGTGGCTCATCAGGATGCGGTTGCCTCTAATGGCCGAGTCAAATCTCAATCTGCCAGCAGTGACACCAGATCAGCCTCTTCAAGCAGCTCAGGTAAGGCCGCTTGGATTAAATCCAACAAGGGCAAAAATGACCAGTGAGTCCAGCACTGCCCTTGGTGACATGTTAGAGGTATCAAACTGCTCCAGTGAGGGTGATTTTTATTTTTTCCTTTCATCTGTAGTGATGTCAGGAACAGAGGACATTCCCGAGACTCTTCGACTCGGTGTCCCGCTAAGGACCCCTGGTTCAGTCTTCAAGTCATCGATGGGGGGTGCTCACAGCGCTCTGACGGCTCCTTTCACCCCAGACGTGGACAGCCCTTTCTCTTCTCCTGCTATCCGACGTCTGGTTGGCCAACAGGAACCCCAGTCTCCCTGGTTTGGTACTGTACAAAGCCCCCACGTCATGAGGAGGGGCCCCAAACTTTGGAGTGCCTCCACAGGTGAGGCAGATTTACTAAAACTATCTCAATAAATTATCAAATTATTCAAGCAATATGTAACCTTGGGAAGATATGTATGCATGAACAACTCTTAAAATATAATAATGGTAATTATATATTTTTTAAATAAAATCATCATGGACTGTACCTATACCTTTATTTGTTAATTAGCTAATATTTAACAATGAAAATAATTATTTCTATTATTTTCATTGTTAAATAATAGATAATTAAAATAAAGTAAAAAAAAAAAAATTCATATTGAATTATAACTAAATATTAACATTTAAATCAATTTATAATAAATTATTTGAGTAATGTTTTTTTACTTAAATTTCAATTTTTTTAATTGGTATTCGTAATTTATCTTATTCATTATTTGACATAATGAAAAAATCTATTATATAGGATTTTATTATAACGATTTAAAAGGTATTGTATTAAGTATTTTTAAGTGTCATGTTATTGGAGTTCATGTGGTTCTGTGGACTTCTGTGTTTGGTTGTAAATCGTTTTGAGAAGCCAAAAACAAATGTACACACTTGTGGACAATAATTCTCTCATACTGTGAATGTGATATAACCTAGCTTATTTCTTTTTCATTTTAGAGTCACAAACCAATGGCAGTCCTCTGGCCTCCCCAGCCACCGTTCCTAGTCCTCCTGCAGCCAATCAGAAACCCAGCTTCCTGACCCAGTGGATGCAAAACAGGAGAGAACAGGTAGAATCTTCATCTAATTCCAACTGACCTGTAAATGAAGCCTTTATTATTTCATAGGGTTTTCTTGGTTTCCAAGTGTGTGTATCCATAGGAACTGAACTGACAAGCTTTTGAGTGTCCAGTTCGGTTGCTGGAAAAAAAAGAAGCCAGTTCACGTTACAGTGTGATACCATGACATGGCTTAGAGACACCTGTTAACTCATGTTCCTGTCATACTCTCAATTGTTCTGCCCAGGTTAAAAGCTTTTTGGCAAAGCGGGTGCTGATAGTGTATTTATTTAACAAGGTAAGGTTAAGCATGCATTACTTGAATGGAGGATCTGTCTGCAACGGCATGTTGCATGTCCCCACAACAGATTTTTAGTTGCAGGAATCATTAATGCATGTGTCTAGATTCTGCCCATGTTTAAATTAACACTAACACCATTAGTCTCCCCTGTCCTTTTAGTTCTGTAGGTCAGTTGTAGTGATAGATTATAGTGACCCAGTTTACACACAGTTTTAAATAAAAGCATGGCATATTACAGTTTATGCTTGAAAAGTTTTACTTTAGACAAAATCAGTTTAATCCTTATCCATCCATTATAATACCATTATTAGAGCAACTGTAGATAAACTGGGTCTGTATGTTTATTCAGTGTTGTTTCTCTCACTGAGATTGTCAGGTGAAGGGCTTCCAAATCATTTGAGTCAGTTTATACAGTGTGTGTTTATATACCTTCTTGCATGCATCAAATCACGTCTGACATTTATTTCAGACTCAATATAATTAAATTCACATTTATAATGCACAAGCCTTTTAGCATTTTACATCTTTTTTTCTTTATGCTTTGTACCTAAAATGTATAGGTATCTGAATCATGCTTTTTCCATATTAAAAAGTTTCTTCTTTTGAACAGCTTCCAGAAGCCTCTAGCCAAGCTCTGTTTGCTGACAGCCAGGCTCATATTTGGGCTCTCCAAGGTCAGAAAGTAGCTATTCATTTTTTAAGAGATGCCATCTTGCATGCTTATTTGTTTGAATGATTTATTTAGTCTTTTGTTATTTCTATTTGTTAGGACTCTCTCATCTGGTGGCAGCCTCTTTCTCTGAGGATCAGTTTGGAGTGGTGCAGACTACATTACCTAGTATTCTTAGCTGCTTAGTAGTCTTGTTAGAGGTAAAACAAGTCATTTTGGACATTACAGTGTTAAAAGTGATGAGCCTATGAATTCAAATGGGGACAGTCTGATTCATTTGGTTAATCTTACTTATTAATTGTAGGCTGTTGACAGACACTTCAAACTGCCTCATGCTTCCAGCAAACCTGCAAGGACAATCTGCAGTATGGGTGATTCCACTTACAAAACTCTAAGGTTTGCACTGAGGGCTTCGCTAAAGACGGCCATCTACAAGATAACTACCACTTTTGGAGAGCACTTGAAGTAAGTCGCATCATTCTTTGTAGAAATATTGTTGCGAAACGTAAGCGGGATAGACTTGAACCTGCTGTATTTAATAAAAAGCTTTATCTTCCTTTTTTACAGTGCGCAGTGGTGCATGTTTACGCTCAATCTTATTGTTAATTTTCTTTGTTTACAGTGCTGTGAATATTTCATCAGAACATAGAAAAAGGCTTCAACAGTTCTTGGAATTCAAGGAATAGTGCACCACACAACCTTGTCCTCTTAGATGTCTGTGAATATATATATACGTGTGTGTCAGGAGGGAAAAGAGACAATGTGCTGCTTTGAAATGTCTGATATATGGGGGATTAGCACTGTACATCACTCAAAGCCTTATAAAGTATATTGCTTTACAGCCTGGTGCTTAACTGTATTTCCCCTTGAAATCCCAGTAACTTTAACATTTACATCTTTCATACACCATTCCATAACCTGGGAATTTTTTTTGTGTATATGTACCTGTGTGCTAGAATGTGACGAGAGTTTAAATCTGGTGGACTTCAAAATCATGGTGGGGATTTAATGAAATGTTTAAGATGTCATCACTTTTCATCTTCAGTATATTTAGATTTTAGTATGCTACCTTGAGTGATGGGTCAACACTTTCCATTTGAGTCATTTATTGTTCACGTTCTATGTTTGTGATGTTTTTAACAGCACTCTGGTTGGATGGTCAATTATCAAGGACCATTTGCGTTACATGGATTTTCACTATGCTCCATTTATTAATCTGGTTTACATGGTATTTGTTTGCCAAGAGATCATCGATTGGGTTATTTGGTTAAATATCAAATATTTACTTTGATGTAATTAAATAAACTTTTCTAAAATGTCATGCAAATGGCTGCAGGTAAATTTTGCAGATTATTCTAAATGCCCAGTTCCTCCGATTATACTGCAGATGTCACTGTTTGTGTTCTGCGCTGCTCATCAGGTATATTTAGTATTAAATTTCACTGTTTAGAGTAATGTAGTTAATTATAATGGGGTTTTATCACTGAATATTATATAAACGGGGGTAATTACAGGGTAATTTCTAGATTTTTTTTTCAAAGTAAGTCTCCACAAGGTCATTTGTAACACAAAACACTGACATGTTTCCATAGTTATTCCTTAAACGTCAGCTGTGATGAGTATGGATAAAGAAATAATTTCTTGTTTAAAAGTTCGTAAGTGCGTAAATATGAGTCGCCTGCAGAAGTCTGTTCCATTCAATCAGTAGCCTACTAGGCCTACACCATAACGCCGATATCCCTCGAATGATGTGTGACTTTCTATTAGTTTTGTCAGTTATATTATATTACTGGTTTACACGCTTTAAGAACGAGAAGGCGGTTGTTTCATTTTCAGCCGCTTTTTTAGAGGAAGAGTTGAATCAAATTCAAGGTTATGGGTTTGGTCTTCACTCTGTGGGAAGGATGGATGAGTCTTGCACACTAGTGTCGTTTCTGCTGCAGTGGACCAACAGTGATTCGACTTCGGGTAAGTTCACTGTAGTTTTACCACCGTGCATGAAAACAACACTAAACTACCTCTGAACTCGTTTTTGTTCCATCATATTTTGGTATCAGCTCTGTTGGCTAATGAATAAAATGATTTCAGTTAATCGTTTTGTTAATAATATGTTTGCTGTTACACATACTGAAGATGAGCACGATCTTTGGTGTGGCTCTACTTGCAAAACATGTTTTTCTTTTCTTTTTCTTATTTTTAGATAAACATGAGACTCGCTCCTGTAAAATGCACGTTCAGCCTTGTGATTATGAAAGGCTTGGTTGGAAACCACTCACAACCAGCTAATATTTAACACAAACTTGATTTCACTCTTGGTCATATTACAGACAATTTATGAAGTAAAGTTTATATGTTAAGACTTCAAGAAACTATATACAAAAGGGATGGGATCACCCAAAAATGAAAGATGTCACGTTTATAACGTGGTTGAGCAAATGACAGTTTTCATTTTTGAGAAATTAACTCCTTTGACCTTAAGATTTTCTTAAAATCATAGAAAATAGAGAGATATGGGGAAATAAAAAGGGTAAGGTTATTATGAATAACGTATTTTGATATGCAGTTGGAGTCTATGGCTGTTTTGAATTAGCAAGCAATTAAGAGAAACGTGCACATAATGGAAAAACTGCTGCAATCTTCATCTGCTGCCCATGGCTATTTTGTTTCGGGTGAGAAGTTAAATACATGATGAAATGGTTTAGGACCTAAACCAAAATCTTAAGGTTTAAACTTTAGGTTATAGACTTTTCTGTCTCTTTCAAGAGCTTTTGTTTCCCACTGACCAAAACGCTATAGCTCTTTTCCTTTTTGTGTAATACATTGTATTTTTTATACAGAGGACTTGAATTCATCCCACTGGTCCATCTTAGGGGTTCAGTTTGGATAAATATTTATTTAGAATTAAAGTCATCATTAAGGGTTTATGATGATGAATTACAATGTTTGATTGCTTAAAACTTCTGTAAATTGGAGGAAAAACCCAAGTCGTTTACATTTTTTATTATAAGAAAATATCTAACTCTTATGATGGTGGATTGATTCATGCGTTTCTCTGTAGAAATTTTAGGAAATTGCCACTTTTCATGAAAGAAAAGAATGAAAGAACTTTTCCTGCACTATATTGACTTTTACAGTGTTGCTGGAGCAGCAACAGTTAAGTTTGTGTTTAACTATAAAAAATTTGGCCAGAAATTGAAAAATTGATCGGTTTACAGTGAAATCCAATTCATAGTTTCACAATGTAACTGTCAAGCAGAGGATCATTTTACTTGCTTTGTGTGCAATAAAGATAGTAGACATAAATGGAAAGCTAAAGGTTCTACATTTACCAGGAGCTGGAAAAAGTTATTCTCATAAAAACTTTGTTAATAATGTAGTTATTAAAATACAATCGCTGTCTTTCTCATTAAAAAAAAGTTCCTATTGTCATCAAACTTGTGAATGGATTGGGTTTGCTTTTCAGCCTCTATGTGGTCTAGTTGAAGTTGATCTAAATTTAGGTAAATTTTTTATTTCTTTTCTCTTTTTTTGCTGTTTATTATTTATAGTAAATTAATATTTGTTTACTTAACTTCTTATTTAGTATTTAGAGTGGATTTTAGGAGTTTTGTAAGATGTGTTGGCTAACTGCTTAGACATAGTGTGATAGCAGAGACTTCAGTCAGCCAAGTCAAGTCACTCCACATTTGGACTCCAAATTAGAACAGTGAGTGAAGTGAATCAACACAATGTCCGCAACGGGGGAAAAAAAATGCTCAAACCTTTGGCAGTATCAACGCCAAAGTCATGGGTTCTATCCCTTGGGAATTATATCTTGTGTATACCTTGAATGCAATTTAAGTCACTTTGGACAAAATATATGCCAAATACACATGTAAATTACTTACGACTACTATTTTTAAATAAATGTATTACATTTATCGTTCTGTGAGAGAGTTTGTAAAATGCCCCTATATACAGCACAGAGAAAACGTACAAGATATTTGAAAGAAAAATGAGTAAGACTTCACTTAGTTTTGGCCTTGAAATGCATAAAACTTGAGCTGACTTAGACAAAAGACTTCGAAAGTCTTGACTTGAACACAGTGTTGGAGACTTGTAAACTTGTCTGGGTGATAGTTACAGTTTATTTGATACAATTATATTGTGCTGTAACAAGATGAGAAATATCCAGCAACAGGCACCTCAGTAACTCTTGTGATTTTTATATGGAGTGCAGGACTAATGGTCGACTCACTGGCTCTTCTTCACAACCCTTGTTGCTGCCATGTTCAATTTTTGTTATGCTGAACTGTTAGTGCTGAATGCTGAAGGTTTATTATGTCCATTCACAGTGTCTCTTGATTCTCTGTGATGATTTTGTGGTGCTCTATTATATGTTCACAGTATTGTTGCAGTGCTGTAAATCACTACAGTGACAAGTTATTTTTATTGGCCATTTGATACTCCAAAAAGTTAATCTAAACAAACGCTTCAGTGAGTGTCAAATCTAGTTTCATGTCCATGTAGATGTCTTGAAAGCATTATAGCACTCATGCTATTTGTATTACTGTGGTTTTAGTCTGCTCTTAAAGTTAATTGAATGTGATGATGATCGTGTTGACAGGGACAGTAAAATAGGACTTTAAGTTTCCCGTTGACTGTGGCTTTAACCGTTTAAAAAGAACCGACCTCACATATTGGGCCATCATGCCTAAAAGCGAAGATTCCATAAACTTTTATGGAATGCTGGGTAATGTGATATGAGACCAACAAGAACACTGTGGGGGATCATCAGATATTTTCACTGCAACAAGCCCCAAAACGTTTCACTTCTGAACGCAGTTTTATTTGTGTGGTGTGTTTTATAGGTGAAACTCAGATTTGTCTTTTTATGCACTTTTCTTTCTCTATACATCCTTGAGAGAGTGATCACGTTTACATTTCAAAGATTTATTTACACTAAGAAAAGTTAAAGGGGCTGAGGTTTGGAAACCTGATTGGAAATACAGGATGGGAATTTTCTTTTATATGGCTGAGGAGTTTTAACAGAGGCGTACAGGGCTACTGTTAATACTGGAGCTACAGATGGCAAACTATATATGCAAGTACATCCAAAAATCTGTCTTATTCCCACTTTAAAAATACTTTTTATTTTTAGAGAGAAAAGGAAAACCTGCAGTAAATTGCTAGTACAGTAAAAACCTATTTCATATGATGAAACATCACAGAATGTAAAATGTATGATTTTGCCAAGTAAATAAGTACTGTATGAAATAGCCCTGTGTGACACTGTGTTGTATTATATATAACAGTTTTTGACTTATGTAGTTATCAGTAATGGGTACATAAGGGTGTTTTGTGTTACATTTTCTGTTATTTGGTTAATGTTTATTGCATTATTTTGGTGTCGTGTTTTTCCCTAATGGTCGTTTGTCTTGCACCATCTGTTTACAAGAATTGGCCTTGTTTTATGGACAGGCCACTTATGATGAACTCTGTTGAAAATAAAATATACAGGAACCAGTACGCCGTCCTGTAATACGTGAAATACTGTCACAGTTTTTACTGTAAATTTCTGGCAACCACTGCTGACGTTTTTTTTTTTAACCATAAATTTAACAGCATATTTTTACAGTGCACTTCCAATGTAATTACCATAACCTCGATTTCTTTGTATTTTTTTAAGTCACAAAGGAATAACAGTTACTAACAGTTCTTATTTTTATGGAATGTTGCCGTGTTTGTTATGAGTGATTTATCCACGCATCAATATTTTTTTATATATCTGTCCGTAATATTTAATCAAAACATCTTGAGTGAAAAACTTGCCCTCCCCCTCGCTATGACATCTCTTCTTTGATGATGTGTAGTTGTGCGAGGGCTGGGCAAAAACGTTGTCCATTGGCCAGATGAGTTTCACTTCTTTCTCTCTAGCAACTTGTCACTCACATGAAATGATTGCAGCAGTTATCAAATTACAATGATCCAATCCATTCCTTTTCCTATATTCCTCATTCGATTTTCAGTTCATCCTATTTGGTTGCATTTTCCTTTTCATTCTAACATTGAAAAAAATGAGGGATTTCTTTTCTCTATTTTTTTGTTTTTTTTTTGTTGGTAAAATCAACATTATACCAAAAATGCAAATTGATGGAGGTATATTGCTTTACATTAAATTGTTTTTCATTTGTTTGATGCTCTTCAGGTCTCAAGTTACTCCTCATTTAAACATTTAATTTTGTAAATCCACAATCATAGACATTTACTCAACCAGAACCAGAATAGTTTTATTGAGATATGGAATACAAGTCACAACCAATTAGCCGCATGTAATTTAAA